CCCCAAGTGCAACCCGCAACAAAAATCCCTCCGTAAACTGGGATGGTGAGGTAAGGCGCAGTCTAAGCACTAGGACTTCCCCACTTCGCCCCCACCGTCGGCGAAAGTAAGTACCAGGATGCTCCACCAAAGAGGCGGCTGCACAGGTCAGACCCAGGTTTTTAAGGCCTTACCAAGAGGAAGGTGGTAGGTAGGGCTGGGTTTGGTGCATAGCTTCATGTCCGGTGCACAGCCTGTGTGGGGGCTGAGTTCTGGCAATGTAGGGGCCCCGGCCTACCGACCCAGAGTCACTTCACGAGCTCAGATACCATTTTCTCCCCCACCACGCTTCCACCAGCTCCCTAGCTCCACAGGAGGAGAAGCCGCCTCTCCCCGGGGCTGAGACTCTATAGAACGGCCTTGCCACTTGCTCAGTCCTGGGAATGAGTCCAGTCCAGGGCTCCGAGTCCCCGATCCCTGTCACCCACGCCGGGCCTGAGCCAAATCGTTCAGCCATCCCGGGAAAAACATAAAACTCCCTTTACCTGTGGCAGCCCCTTTACTCTTCTTCTTCTTTCGTCTTTTCTTCTTGGCTGCCTCCTCAGCCGTAGAGGTAGTTCCCTCTTCCCTGTCGTCTGGATCCAGATCGCCATTCAGGAGGCTCCCGGAGGACACTGCCTCCTCCACGGCCGCCATGTTGCCCGAGAGAGCGCGAGGGAATGAGACCTAGTGCTGAGAGCCCGCTCCTTCTTCACCCACCTACACCAGCGACACCGGAAGCCGCTCTGGAGGGTGGGGCGCAGGGAATGCTGGGACGGCCGAGGAGTGGATTGCAGGCAGCCGCTCTCGAGTGCTGCGGGTTCCCCTCTGGCGGGGCTCTAGGGCGGCGGTGCCTGAAACGTGGCGGAGGCGGGTCTGGCTGCCTGTGGCTGGTGCGGGGACCCGACACCTGCCTCCTCCCGCGCCTCAGGCGTTCGTTCCCGGGGCAAAGCTGCCCGCGGAGGGTCGAGTTGAACGCCTGTGCCTGTGGACCGGCGCAGTCCGCCAGACAGGGGAGTCTGTTAGAACCGGAAAGTTTTCTATTCGCGGTTTATGAAGCGCACCGGAAGCGAGGAGAGGGGCTAAAAAACGTGCTCGCTTGTACACACTCCTTTTTTATGACTCAAAGGGACTGCGTTATTATTCGCAATTACAGCTCACGGCGAGGCCGTCCGGGCCCTTACGGAGGCGAACCTGCAAAGGGGAGGAGAGCAGGAGGCATTTATTAGAGAAGCCGATGGAAGACAGCGTCTTAAGGAGGGAGTGAGCAGCTGCGTTGCTCCTGAAAGGTCAAGTAAGAGGACTGAAAAAATGTCAGATGTATATAGTCACATGGAAGCCGTGTGGCCTTAGCAAGAGCTATTTAGGTGAACAAATGGAAACCAGACTAAAGAGAGGAGATGAATCTGAGGAAATAGAGAACCTCCTCATACTTCAAGTTTCAGTTTAAACGCCACTCACTCGGAGAAGCCTTCCTCAGCAATCTAAATCAGGCCCAGCCCTTAGAACTTCTCACTCAGTTCTCAACCCTTTTTTCATGGCAATTCGTAATTTATTTGCGTGATTGTTTTATGCCTATCTCCCCAGCTCCGTGAAGACGAATCCTACGTATTCTGTTCTTCGATCACCAGCACCAACCTCTAAATTAGAGTGTAATAGGAGCTTAGTAATTACTCATTGTATAAATAGCACTTGAGAAGTGCCAAGTACTTTACATTGGATTCATTATCTCATTAACCCAAGTTCGAGTTGAGGAAATTGGAGAGTTGTGGTAATTTGCACCAGGTCGTACAGCAAGTAAAGGGTTAGAATCCTAACCCAGGTCATCAGGCACCAAAAGTTTAGTAAGTCTGTATTCTGCCCTCGCAATTGAAATTTCAAATCAGCTCAGTAAATATTTATCGATAGTAGACTACAAGTAATATTTGTTGGTGAAAGATGCAAAAATGAATAAGACACAAATCTGTACCCTCAAGAAATTGTAGCATTCAATGAAACAAATATGTAAAGAAATAATAAAATAAGATGCTAATACTTACATTATTTACTAATTACTTTCTCTTCCACATTATTCTGTCACAAAGCTGAGGAATTTCTAAAAGGTCTAAAAGATCTTCACATTGAGGGCAAGATGTAGCTGGTCAACCTCAGGAGGAATCAAAGCTCACCTTTGTTGAGGTGCAAAGCTACTGCCAGAGGCTATTAACATCCTTGTAAGTAAGATCTACTACATCAAAAATACCTTCGAGCTTTGTCTGAATCTTCCCAGTTCCTTTCTCAGTTGTGGGAACACTTGGGTCATGGTTATTACCTTAAACTCATCCCAGGAGAGAAGATCCTGGCAGACAAAACCTATAGGCTTGATAGATGAATTTTCACAAAGGGGTGCTTGAGGTGTAAGTTGATCTACAGAATTATCAATGCCAAAATAAAGTCTGTTGAGTTAAAAAAATAAGATGCTAGAAATGCAATAATAAAACAAAATTTTCTCTGCTGCAAAGGGATTCTACTGTACTACTCTCCCTTTCTTTCCTGAAAAGAGGCAAGAAAACAAAACGTTAAGTTAGTAGTAAAAAACAATACACAACTTAACAGTTTGGTAATGGATATTTGCTGGATGATTTTTTTCCAGGACACAAGAGTTTGAGGTAACTAAGTTAACTACACTTAAAATAGCACCACATGACATTCCTATTTTCATCATTTGGTTTTCTCTGCAAGAGAAAATTGAATGGGGTAAAAGAATGAGAAATATTGGAAACCTAAGTAAGAGTCTAAGAGAAACTATTATGTACCTAACTCAATGCCAGCACCTGCTAGACTATTTTTTCTAGCTAATTACACAAAGTCATTTTGTCTCAGATGGTTAACTAGATAATCAAACAAAAACAAGGTTTGTTTTTCTTAGAGAGATACTGTTTCTATTATAAAATCAATGCATTATAATAAAACATTTATTATTTTGTCCAAAAGATGTATTTTTGCTGAGAAAATTTTGATTCCAAAATGGGCAGCATGATTATCCCCAGCCTTATTTTCTTTGAAGTCCTTGCTATTGGTATGGCTTTGGACAAGTCAAGCTCTCCAAATTTCAGTTTACTCATTTGTAAAATGAGAATAATAGTACCACATCATAGGATATGGTAATTAAAGTTCAAAATGGAGAGAGAGCACTTATGATAGTACAATGTCTGACACAATAGTGATGTGCTAGCTAACGTTATTGTTAATAAGCCATGAATTTGAAAATTTTCCATTTGTGTGGATTATGTGATGGTCTAAATATTTTAAGTCACACGTTATGTGACCTTTGGCAGTGGGTTAACAAGAAATAAGAAAAAAATTGGGAAAGTTTGATTGCTTGACATTAGGGGAAATACTAAGGATTTTTTTCATATCTTTAGTATAAAAATTCTATACATACAACTTTTAAAATGTATAGATTGTTTGATATACAGGGATAAGCAAAAGTAGGTTTACAGTTGTCTGTATGGAAAAAGGACATGCAGGTTATGATTATTACAATAGCTTTATTAACTCCGTTTTACGTACTCACAACTGTAAACCTACTTTTGCCAACCCCTGTAATATATATACTAAATCTCCAAATACAATCTCACATTGAAGGGGTTAGGGCTTCAACACATGAATTTGGGGGGGAACACTGTAGACTATAACAGACATTGCCAATGTCCTCTTGGAGAAGGGGGCAGGGAACTGCTCCTGGTTGAGAACCATTGGCATAAAGGCATGAAAAACTGGCGTGTTTAGGGGGAGTTCTTGCTGAGGAATAAGAAAATTAAGACCAGGTTGTAAAAAGCCTTCTATGTTACTGTACACAGTGTGGCTTTTATTGTAAGGCTTTGAGGTGATGTGTCAAAGGATATTTAAATTTTAAAATTGAGAAAATGCCTAAAATAGAAGGCCACAACAGACATGTCAATAGCATGTCAACACAATGCATACTATGTATCTATGAAAAGACAGTAAAATGATATGCATGCAGATTATGTGAATATATTTAAATGTTTATATAATACAAACATTTTCAAGCTAGGGAAAATTAGGAATTTTTGCTTTTTGAACAATGACTCTAATGGCAGCCTAGATTCTAGAACTGTGGTTCATTTAAAAAGCCAAGTCTATTTAAAGAACTGTTTCCTATTCTGAGAATATGGTACTTTCTGCTTTTTGAAGTTGAACAGTATTTTAAAATTATTATTATGAAATGACAGTGAAAGTAGATGACGTTGATTTTTTTGTGCCCTGACCAAAAAAAAATTTTTTTTAAGGCCACATTATATCAGTTCTCAAAACCATTTTTAAAACTTTTCTCAATAGTGAAATCCCTAAGTCAGATGTTCTTTATTCTAGAGAAAGAATTGGAAATGGCAGAGCCCGGTAGTAGGGGAGATTTGCTAAGATGTTACTGATAAAAATATTGATAAAAACTTAGGTGAAGGCTCTTAGGGGGCTAGAGAGGAGAGATTGGTTGCAGAAACATTTCTAATGGAGAATTAAGAAAACTTACTGGTCCATTGAGTGTGGAGAGGGAGGAGTTGAGGATGACACCAAGGTTTCTCGCCTGTGTTCCTGGTTAGATAGTGGTACCACTTCATGAGATAGGGAATAGAAAAGGAGGAGTAAGTTTTGGAGGAGGTGGAGGGGAAGATAAGCTTTGGGCATTTTAAGTTTGAGATGCCTGCAGAGCATCCAGGCAAAGATATCTAGTAGTCAGTGAGAAACATGGATCTGGAGATAGTGAGAATTATTAGGGCTTGCTTGGGTGTGGTAGAAAGCTATGAATGACATAGCTCAGGGAGAAGAAAGAAGAACCAGAGACAGAACACAACCCAGAAGGACACTAATGTTTTAGGGTTTTGTTTGTTTGTCTATAAGAAACAAGGGTGAGAAATTCTGTTAAGGAAGCTACAAAGGAATGGTAGACCAAGAAGAAGAAAATGCTTTAGAGAATAATCACATGGAAGTGAGAGAAAAAGTTGTACAAAACAAAAGTTTGTTATATCAACTGTTGAAGAAAGAGCAAATAGTATGAAGTCTCAAACTAGACTATTGATTTTAGCCATTAGGAGCCCTGTGGTGACTAGTGAGAACAATTTTGTTAGAAGGCACCAAAAAAAGGATTCTCACAAGATATTGGGATGCACTATTCTGGACATCAGCTCAAGGAGCAAAGGCTCCTTTATTTCAAACCCAATGACTCTTGTGATGCTCACCTCTTCTGTTCTGGAGAGCCCCTTTCTTGAAATTAAATGTGGCTCTCTTACCACATTCTCTTCTGTGATTCTTTCCCTATTTTAGTTCTGTCCAAAGATATTCTAAGTTACCTTTCATCTTATAATATATTATTATTTTCTTTTGTAACTGGAGAATAGTTAGATAATAATAGAACTTCTTTACCTTCCCCATAATCTCTATTTAGCATCCATGTATTTAGGCTAGACTTTAAGAAAGACACATATGGTTGTAAGCAATATTCCTGTGGCCAAGATGTCAGGACTATCATTACCCAAATGGAGATTTCAAGTGTTTATCGGCCAGGGCTACATAGAAATCAATATCAAAGGTTCACTAAAGAAAGATGAGCTACATACTGGAAGACAAATGTCACTCAGTACTATTTATAGGCTCCCTCTTCTCATCTCTTCTAATAATGGTTCCCACTACTGATTAAATGAGGGTTATTTTGGTGTTGACCATAGAGGTGAACTAGGAATATATTGTGAGTGAGGTTGTATATGGAAAAAGGTTAGAAGTTCT